GCATAATCGGCGGCGCCACATTGAGTCCAAACCCCATGCGGGTCAGGCAATACCGTTGCCCCTTGATAAGCACGGTTTGATAGGGCCACAGTGATTGGTGCACGCTTGAAGGTATGCCTTGCGAAGATCCAGCACAGATACATTTGATCCTGCTTGTCGCCATTCCCTTAGCTTCTCGGTACACACGTCCGTGCGGGCAGTAAAAGGTCCACATGCTCGTTCAGTTCTCGATAGTCGAGCACCGGCCTCACCTTTTGTTTGTTGTGCTGGAGAACCGCCATTAGCGGGATCAGGCCCTTTGGGGCCCCAATTCCTTCTCTGGATAAGGAACCAACCACCCGTTATTAATCCAGGCTCGCAATTCCTTGTCGTACTCCGCCACGAGCTCGGGGGGGATCTTATACTCCGGCACATTGTTGTACAGCTTCTCTGGCGGTTGATCGTCTGACCATTTCAAAGATACCGTCCAGGACTTTGTGCGCTGGTCGAACTCCATACGAAAGTCAGGCCGTTCAGCTCCATTGCTGCACCTAGAGCTAGACCTGTTTCAGTGAAACACGCCCGACCCTCTTCGTCAACACGGACACCACCCAATTTTTTGATGACGTCCATTCCCAGGAGCAGATCATAGCTGAGCAGCCCTCCGTCCACGACCAGGGCTTGTACAGCTACTGCAGGCCCATCGCCCGATGCTTGCGCGGATGATGCTCACTCCACAAGAGGTTAGCGAGCCCCACCAACAGTCAGAACTGGAATATTTTCTTGTCCCCGTGTCACAACATGCCTTGCGCACAAGGGTCTGGGTGCACCGGTGTCAACAAGCGAAGCGCTCACGCCCGATAATCCGCACGCTCACTGCGGGTAGCGCCTTGTTCAGCGGCGATCTGGGGGAAGACTGGCGCAGAAGCTTACTCCCTTGCCCGTTTCCCGGACAGCTTCTTTTCGTGGCCCAGCTTGTCGCACCTGTAGCAACGCACACGTCTCCGTGTTCCTCGGTTATCGTATCCTTCGCACCGCCCGGCAGTCTTTGGAGAAGTGGTTCAGTCCGCCATTTATAGCACCTTATGTCCTCAGTTGGCGGTGCGGGTGCTTCCCAGCTGCTGAGGCCGGCTCCGCGTCATCTTTTAGAATATTCGGGCTCTGGCCAGTAATTGTCTAGCCCCAGCTCATTGAGCCTTGACGATGCTCGTAGCAGTCGACTTGCGTTGTCTGGGAGTCCTGCCAGAAAGGCGCATCCTAGGATTTGGTCGCTTGCTCCATCGAGCGGTGCGGCCAGCTTCCTCAAATCGGCCAGAAAGACATCTACTGTTTCATCCGGTCCAAGCGTCGTTCGGTAAACTGCCTCCAGGCGACAAAGGGGTCCGCACCAAATGCTGCGTATAGAGCTTGTTTTATTTCCTCCAAGTCTCGTCATCCCTTAGCTGCTGATACACAGCGTAAGCTCCTTTGGTGAGTCTAAGAGGGATAACCAGTGCGGGATCTTTAATTTTACACAGCCGGCAGACCGGCTCGGCATTTTCCCCACCACTTTCGACCACAGAGGGGCCAGCAGGGGAGCCGTCGAACTCTGGTATTAACTTCAAGTCGAATCTGTCCATGCTGTAATAATTGCCGAAATAGCTTGTAGCAAATGAGTCGACTTGAACAGTGTAAGGGGACGCAACTCTTTCCGTCTGAAAATGTCTGCAACGCAAAATGATGTACACCAAGCACGAGTGAAATGTTGGTCTGCCAATGTCTCCAAGCAACCTGCTTTTATGGAGCCCAGACACACCTCATTAGCATGTGTGTAACACGACTTTATGGACTGCACGAGACCGTGAATATTAAAAGTCACGGGCGCCATTTTGAATCTTTTCTTTCCTTTCTCAACCCACAGGCCAGGAAGATGCGAGAACGTTTGCGAGGTAGGCCGTTTCTATTTTCCCCACATTAACCAATGTCAAGCCTGGTCAGTATATAGATGGGTGCCCACCTAGGAATAACAGGTGCTGTAAGCTTGGATGTGCAAGTGATGTAATGAATAATGGATTGGAAAGAGAAATTGGAGAGCTGAGTTCAAATTCCATTTGATTCATTATATTCATTTGTGTGCAAATAATCTTTTACCCCAAGCAAGGCAATAAAGTCACTGAGACACAAAGAGTTACTGTATGAGAAAGAATCTCTGGAATATGAAGCTTTTTTGGCCAATCAGAAGGTACTGTAGTCTAATAAAATCAATGCTTCCATGAGCCCTCCAACTCCAAATTCTAATTCTTCTGGTAGTTCCTTATTTACATTTCTGTCACTTTTATTGCTGGCTTTTCACTATTTTCCTATTCCTTACCTAACCAACAATAATACTACTGTTGTCCCAGTCAAGACAGTCTTTCCTCTTACCATTTCTTTCCTTGCCTTACCATACACGCATATATAAGATAATCAAACTTGGAATACGATTGATTCTGTTGCTTGATTATTTAATGAACATATTGAAAATAAAATGTGGTACTGTATAGTAGAAAAAGGTAAAAATTAATCAAGCCACAGTTTACCTGTACACTTTTCATTGTATGATGGAAATTTTTGCTCTTCAGGAAATGGCTAAAAAAATATAAGGAAAATTTCAATCAATCAAAATAAATAAAATAAATATATATCATGCAAAAAGAAAGCATAACAAAAATTTCTTCAAAACTGGACAAGTTAAATGTATCAAGAGGAAACATATTGCAAGCTGTAATCTCATTTTTAAAAGTTTATTTTTTTTCTGACAAAACATTTTTATGGCCCCTGTAGATGGTGGATTATTTTAGTTTCTGTAAAATGAATAACAACAAGAAATTTGCATGTTAAACAATATTATAAAACTGATTAATCCTTTAATCAATTATTTAATGGATGCACATCCTAATTTTTAAAGAAAATGTATTTTCTGTGTATTTTTACCCTAATTTGGTTTACAAATTAACTGAAACATTGTGTTAGCAACAACAAAGATGAGGCCATCATTACTGTTGTAGATGTAAACATAAAAAAAACAAAAAAAGACAAATGTAGATATTTTACTGTCAAGAAAAAATGAAAATATATTGGTTGTATTTACTGAATATCAAAAAGATAAAAGAGGTTTTTACATTAGACAAAAATATTTGATATTATCTTAAGAAAAGCCTATATAACTTTAATGACATACTTACCAATGAAGATTTTTCAAACACAAGACAGTAAGGTTTATTATTGAATTTTCCAGAAAGCACAAAATCACTTTCTGCAAGAACTGAAAAAGTAAACAAAAATAAATACATTTTCAGATTCAAAGTTTGATTTTAAATTTACTCTTCAAATTATTTTTTTAACAAAAGGGACTTTTGAAAAAGAAAAATATTAGAATAAATAAAGAGAGAACAATGACATCAAGTCTTCAATTGAAGCAGCAGCAGCCACAGCAGAAAAGAAAAGCCATGGCAAGTGCAGTCAGGGGCAACAAGCAGCAGCAGTTTCTTCAGCAGGCAGATTAGGTTTAAGGCTGCAAGTTTTCTGGTCAGGATTATCCTGATATTGGTTCATTAATTTGATGACATAGTAATTGTAAGTTTAATCCTTGAGCCAGGCAGTGTGTACTTGGACTCGGTGGAAACAGGGGAGTGAGCAATAACTGAGGAGTACTAAATAAGAACTAAACAAGATATCCCTAGACATAGTCAATGGAATGAAAACAATCTACTCCTGTAGGTTAAATAAAAGGCTTCAAAATTTCCTGAAGGTTACTTGGATCAACAAGCACCTGATGAAGGCTGGAAGGCATAATGGTTGAAATGTGAGAACAACAGCAAAAATTAGAACAATAGTCTACATGTAAATAATCTAAGTAAAATATTAAAAATCCAAGCATCACCATATCATAAGTGGTCAAAACTTAAAAATATCTTCAAGCTGTTATATTCAAAATTGAAGTATCTGGTAGCTTAATATTCACCCAAAATCTGTTTATATTACTACTTGTACTTAGACTAATTTCATCATACTGACATGTTAAGTGTAAATAGGGAATAAGTTTTACATTCCATCAGATATGGTAAAATTAACAGTAATGTCTTAAATTGCTAAAAAATGTTATTGGAAAAAATTCAGTGTGGCTAGATGTCCGATTGCTTCAAGCTGGGATTGAACCCCGTTGATTTGGTATCAATCAGAGATTCTACCCCTAGGCTATCATCGCACAGCAGAGAGGAAGGGAAATTTTAACATTTTCTATGCGAAATACATCTTTATTCTTTTTAAATAGGATGAGAATCTAGAAAGTTTAATATTGTAAACTTTTGCTAAAAATGTAAGCATATTACCAAAGTGAATTTAAATATGAACAAAAATGGTTGTAACACAACTTGTTCTATTTTGTGCAATATAGTTTGTTCCATAATCTTTATCATTCATTAATTGATTAATTTGTTTTCTATGGCTTATCCAACCTTTGCAGGTTATTTAAAGCCATAAAATATTTTTAGACAGCAAGAACTCTTTTTATAGGTAATAATGGTTTAGTAATACAAGTTTTACTAATTAACCTATAGTTGGGGGAAGAAGGGGGTTCACAGAGTATTTCTGCATAAGTGAATAAAACTAACCCAACTGGAATTGGAACTCATCTCTCCAAATCAGTCAGTTATGTGCTATGCATGATATATGCTTAAGTGATCATGTATCTTTCAATACATGACTGATGAGGCAGATTTTTTCCAGCAGTAGGATACCATTTTTTTCTGCGGTAGATTAGTTGCCATCCAAGGCTATAGAACCCGGTCTGTCCTGCTATTTACCCATAGGTGGGGTGGAGAAGAGGATTCATACCTTTCCCAAGGGTATTAGCGTGTAAGTGAATGTAATGGATTCGACTGGAATTTGAACTCTGCTCTCCGATTCCTCAATCCAAGTTGTTATCCATTACTCCACCGTGCCTCTTCTCTCCAATTAACAATTCTAGACCATCATTCATTATATGAACCACATATCCAAACTTACAGCAACTGGTATTCCCAAGTGGTCACCCATCAAGGTACTGAATAAGCTTGGCATTGCTTAACTTCAGTGATCATATAGGAACTGGTGTTTCAACATGATATGGGTGTAAGTCTGATCCCCACTTTTCATTTTTTTAAAAGATTACAGATTCAGTAGAATCATGAAAATGGAGTTGAGGAAAATAAAGATGAAAATAGAACATTCATTTTTGTGTGCCATGTCCCTTATGGACATGGATGATCATGGCTCTCCACAAATTCCTATCCTTTGCAGCTCTAAGCAATATTTTCCACTTTATGATTTCTCTCAGTCCCTGCTCTGCCATTCATTTGCACAAGCTTTTAAGGAGAATTACTTGCTGTTCCCCTTCTCCCCATTTACCTTCAAGGTCCTGTGAGTGTCAAATTCTCCAAACCTTTTCTTCCCACATTATGTTCCAGAAATTTCAACTGTAATGGCCACACAACAAAGCCCACTGTAATCTACAGCTTGAACATCCAATCCAACATAACTCTAAGTATAATATTTGTAGTAAATCAATAGTAATGATAAAGAAATGGAGATTTAAGGATTTGTGGTGATTACAAAATAGGGATAAATCACCAGATATGTTCGGACTCTTTTTTGTTAAAAAATATTGAAACTGCGAACCACAAGTTAGTGAAAAGGAACATTTCAGGAAAATTGATCTCAAGGCAACATACAACCAAATAATAAATTGATGAAAAATTCAAGGAAGTAACTACAATAAACATCCCTATAGTCTTCATAGGTCAACGTGTCTACCGTTTGGCATAAAGACATCGAGTCACATTTTTCAGAAAGCAATTTAAAGAGTCTTATTAGGAAAAATAAAATATATAATAATTTACCAGGATGATATATGCGTAGGGGCAAAAACCAGAGAAGAATTGAAATTTAAAACAGAGCAAATTTTAATGGGGTTGAGTAAAGCAGGCATGACTATAAACAAAGACAAATGTAGTTTTGACTGCAAGAAGATATCATATTTAGGATATCAAATATTGAAAGAAGGCAAGAGATTAACAAAGAAAATAACAGAAATAGCTCCTCCAACAATTAAAAAGGAATTAGAATCCTTTTTGGAGCTGATAACTTTTTATAGTAAATACATTCCAAGATACAGCGATGTAATAAAGCCATTTGCAAAATTACACAAGGAAAATAATGAATTTAACTGGACACAAGAGCAAACTATCACTTTTGAAACAGTAAAGAAAAAAAAGTTTTTGATCCACAAAAAGAAGTGACATTAACCACAGACACGAGTGAAAATGCGATTGCTGTTGTCATATCGCAATAAGAACACCCAATCATGTACATATCAAGAAGGTTAACACGAGCTGAGATCAATTACTTGAATATTGAAAAAGACGCATTCGCGATTACATGGAGCATAGAAATGACACAAAATTTTTTAGCAGGAAAGAAATTCTTGTTAAAATCGGACCACAAACCATTGGAATTCATATTTAACCTGAGAAAAGAATTGCCAAAAGAAAAAGTGTCAAGGATTTTGAGATGGGCGATAAAGATCATGGCATTCAATTTTGACATAATATATGTTAAAGGGAACACTATCCCTCACATAGGTGTGTCATCAAGATTGCATTTCAAGAATGAAACTGAGGAAAAAGAGGAAGACAAAATAATACTCTGGGTTGAAATGGAAGTTATTCCTCAAAATAGGCTCAAAATAGAGACAGAGCAAGACCCAGTGTTAAGCAGAATAGTGGAGAGAATAAGAAATAATGTATGGAGCAATTAAAGAAATGGTGGTAGAAAATGGAATAATATGCAATGGAGATATAATTGTAATACCTCAACCACTGAGAAGGGACATATTAAAAGGAGTACATGAGGACATGCATTGTGTCATAATAGCAATGCGAAAAAGACTAAAGTTGCAAGCTTGGTGGCCAGGGTATTCAAAAGATGTAGAGGAGTATATTAGGAGATGCCTAAAATGAGCGGAAATAAAAAATTTCAAGGTTTTTATTGTATGGAAAGTACAATAAGTAAGAGTTCGTAAATATAACAATAAGTAAAATGGGAGATACGTCACAGAGATTGTAGTCGTTCCTTCCACTACAATAGTTTGTCATGTCTTTTATTTTCTCATTCACGTCTCTTTTAGACTGACCAATCACTGTCGGGATGTGTTAGGTTGTTCCACTATAACAAAGACAGAAAAGCCACCACAATAAAGCAAGTTCATTCTGAGTACTTACTTTTCAACAAATGGAGTACTCCAAACACTAGTCACTGACAATGCACCTGAATTTTGTGATGAGAGTTTATGTGCATGGTTGAAACAAATAAGATGTATCCCATACCGTATCATTCACAGTCTAATGGCATTGCGGAAAGAATGGTACAAACAATAAAAATGGAGTTAAAAGCATTCTCACCACTTAATGAAAGCCAAGAAGTGTATTTACTGAAAATGCTTCTCAGTTATAGATCCATTCTACATGCAGGAAGAAAGCTGAGTACTTTGTCATTAATGGGTAGACAAATCAGAGCCCCTATAACTATTTCCTTTTCAATCAAAAGAAAAGGTATGGTATAGAAACAATAAGGAGGCTGGTCCAGAAGAAGCAAATTTCCTGATACAAAAAGGACAAAACACGGCTATACTGGAAAAAATGGACAAATATAATAGCACATGCAGATCAATTCAGAAGCAGAAAAGAATTTAATGATGTGAAAATGGAAGATCAAGAGCAAGAAGAGACAGAAAGTCACAAAAATGGAACAGAGCAGGAAATGGAAGAAAATGAGAGTGAAAAAAACGGACAAGAGTGAAGAAGAATATGAAGAAAAAATATCTAAAATCTTTCTTTAAAATCTTTTCTTAAGGATTAACTTTTGGCTATTATATTTCAATTAAAGCCATAATTTAACTTCAAGGAAGATATTTAAATTATTTAAAACATATTTTCAGCTATTTTTAGAAAGTCTATAAAATTCTATAAACAATATTTATTTAATTATTATAGGGACCACCTACCTCCCCAAAATGCAATATCTGTGGTTAAAAATTAATTTTTAAAAAATGAAAAATTTTTCTTGAAGCTTTTATTTTAGTTTTAATTTCAAGCTAATAGATTAAATTTAATATTTCCAATAAACAAAATACTTTGCTCTATTTCAAAAACTAATTTAAATTGACTGGAAAATTTTTTTTTTTTGTTAAAATAGCTGATTACCCACCATTTTTACTTGTCTTTCATCCCAATGTAATTCTTTTTATTCAAAAATCTTCCAAAAATAAAATATACTTTTCTGAAACTTTATTTGAGGAATATTTGCTGATTTAAAGTATAATTAAACTGATTTGAAATAAATATTTATTTAAGTTTAAAATATTGCAGAAATGCATTTTTTTTAATCTGACAATAACTGTTTAGATGTCTTCACAGCTTAATGACAGATCTTATGCTGTTCTATGGAGACTATCTGTAAAACATAATTTAAGAAAATGAAGTGAGTGCCTTTTTTACATAATTTTTAAGCACTCAGTAATCTTAAGAATTTAGGAAAATATTCTTCATAATCTAATGCTTTATTGAATTTTACAAATGTTGATTTTAAATTTACAATATTACTATATTATTTACACTTATTTTTTTGATAATGTTATGTATGGTTGACCGTAGTTACAAAAATTGGCATGTTTATATATCTACAAACAAAAAATTCAAAATCCATTTAAAATATTGATGTTTGATAATTTATCTTAAGTTTTTCTATTTATGATTAGTAAATATAGTTTTCGCTTTAATAATATTATCTAAAATTAGAATTTTAAAAGATTTAAAACTATAAATTATTCTAATTAAAATTTAAATAAAAAATGAAAACAATTCTTGTAAAAATTCAATATTCATTGAAAAAGTTTTTTCTTAACACTATAGTGTCCTTAATATACTTTGTTCATAAAAACAATTGAGAGCTTTTCTAATTAAATAATATCATAGTTTATTGTATAAACTTTTATGTTTCAAAGCAGATTTTCAGTAACTAGGGGGGTCCTGTTTTTTAAAAAAAAGAAACTTAATGATTTAAATTGTCCAAGGAGTTTTGCGTATAACTAATATAAATATTACACACTGCAAAATTTAATTTCTCAAAAATTTCATAAAATTAAATAAATAGTGGGGTTAAAAAAATATTTTTACTATGATTTTCTAAAAAGAAACATTTCTAAATTTTATTCAATAAAATCTGACAATTATTTGAATTTTGCAACAATTTCCAAATTAATGTATTTTTCATTGCCCAAAATGCTAAAATTTTCTATACTAATTTTGCCACTCTCCCCACCTGCTGAGAAAAAAAAAAAAAAAGAAAGATTTTTAAGCAAAATTTCAAATGTTCTAAAAAGGGCCCCCAAAATATAAGTTACTTGTGGGTTATCTGTTGCCACTTTTGAAATTAATTTTCCAACTTTTTCACAAATACAGATGTTTAAAAATATACTATCCCAAAAATTCTTTTAGCAGTCTGAAAAAAAAAAAAAAACGAAAATAAAACAAACAAAACAACAATAATTAAAAAAAAAATTTATATACCACATCTAACTTTATAAAAGATTACCAATACATAAAGTAAAAAGTTTTGACAGATAACCCACAAGCACCAAATATAATCCAATAAATTAAAAATAAAGCCCTTTGGGTCTTTCCTCTTAATAATAAAAATTTTCATAAAATTTTATTTATATTAAGTTTAGGCCATTTTTTCATCATATGCAAATCAGTGAAGGTACCCATTCTAAAGAAAGACATTTCATTCTCTTTCACTCTCAGTACCCCCTTGTGTGTTAGTGGCATTATTACCTTGCTTGGGGCGAATTGATTAAAAAAAAAAGATCTAAGCAAGATTAGACTCTACTATCTTTCTTTGTTTCCACTCATTCATACAAACTTGTCCATCTGTAGAACATCTCTGTTGCTTTGAATCTTGTTTTCATTTTTGAGGGAATTGTCTAGTATAAGACTCCTCAAAGATGTTTCTATGTCAAATTTTTTTCTATTTCATAATCTACTTCATTGCAAATTGTAATGTGTGAAAATTTTA